GGAACTATTAATTATATTTGATTATAATTTGAAAATAGATATACACTGTATTACATCATATCTAATTTTAGAGGACTATTAATCATATCTAATGTTAAAGTATTTTCCACACTTTTTTTCATCATGCATGAAGATATTGATTGATAATTGGTATATAGTTTTATCATGACAAGTTATACAGATCAAGTTTGAAATTTTGTTTCGGTCTGATAATTTTGTGCAGAGTTATGGTCCTTGGACTTGAAAAATTCACTCATGTAATCCGTTTTCCACACTGTTTTTAGTCATGCTTGAAGATATTGACTTGATATTTTCTTTTTGTTTACACCATGACAAGTTATAGAATAAGTTAGCATTTTGTTCCAGTATAATGAATTTTTTCCCAGTAGGGGACTATGTATTGCCATGCAATACTCTCAGAATGCTTGTTATTCAAACACAGATCCACTAATTTATGTATTAGAAACATTTTTTTGAAAAAGTGATCCACAGATTTACGTATAACATGAATTGTCTTTTTTCTCTATCCACGAAAATTTGTTACCAACGAAAATAAATGAATCCACAGTAATCAATATTGCAAAATTCAATTTTTTTTGGCATGTGAACTTTCAAATGATATTAGTCAGTGATATAATCAGTTATGGAGTGTGGAGATATTTTGCCATCTTTGCTTACAAAAAATTGACAAATCCTTTTTCCATTGAAACATGTGTTTTTTATACTTAAATAAAATTGTTGTAAAGATGGTCATAAGAAGGTCATATAAGAACACTTTTGATCAGGAATACATCAGTATTTATTTATATTTTGATTTTTGCTAATAAATTAAATCCAGTCTCACTTTTTGTTTCAAATGTATAAAATATACAAATACAGCATATACATGTCGTTTTTTGTTCTCAAATGGTATTTTATTTTTGCATGTATTTGTCCTAAATATGCATGAACAATTTTTTGTTTGCACATAAAAATTAGAATACATTTGCACATATTTATGCCTGTATAAAAAAAACTTACTACAATTTCACAAATGAATTTATTATAATGTATTAAGAAATCTAAGAAAATTATAATAGTTTAACCAACAATTTTTTATTTTTGCTAAAAGGTATTTGGTCTGTTGATGCTGGGTCCTCCCCCAGAAACTAGCCTGTTTAAAGAATTTTTCAATTTACCTTGGACTTTGTTTGTTATTTCCCATTATTAGTAGATAGTTGCTGTTTTGAACATCTTAGCAGTGAACTTGCCAACATCACAGCCAAGGTTTACAGACATCTCTCTAGGGGAAAAGGAAATACATTTATTTTTGAGACAAAAATTGAAACACTAAAAAATCATCAAAAACAAATGGAAAAAAAATTTAAAAATTGCAGATTACACCAAATTTTTTTTCCTCAAGCAAACAATGGAATATTATACCAATTAATTTGGAATGCTGTATTTCATTTTTTATCCCCCATCATCCAGGGACAAGGGCTTACTTATAATGGTCCTCTGGTCTATCATTTGAAAATCCAACAATTGTGCAGATACCTGTTTAATACAGAAGATATTGAACTGTTTATAAATGTAAAATGGCAAGTTTCCATTAATTTGTTTTAGAGGAAATACATTTCATGTTTATGGCCATTGGATATGAAAAATTATCACACAAAAAAGATCAAGCCAAAATTTTAGAAAATAGCAATTATGTTCATTAGTGTATATTTGTAAGTTACAGATTAAGTTTAATAGTAAACAATTTATTTTTCTTTATCATATTGCACATCATGTCTCAACTAGCTTTTATGATGAATCATTAAGTAAAATATATTTTTAAAATATAAAAATCTTCTTATATTTACAATTCACTGTTACAGGATCTTCTTTTAAACCATCTATAGTATAAAAAAAAGAAAGAAATAAAGACAATTCTCTGTTTTACTAATAAATAGGCTTCTTGTAGTCAAAATTTAGGTACAGTCAGTGAAAGAATTGAAAATAAATTTGTCAAACCTTTATGGAATTTGACAAAATTTGAAAGGATGCTTCTTCATAATCAAGAGATAACACCTTGAATAAAATTTCAGTGATATTTTTTTAATTATTTTTTCTGTATTTTTTTGAAAAATGGACTTAGTTTTTATACGACCGCAAAAAAATTTTTGTGGTCGTATATTGGTATGACGTTGGCGTCGTCGTCGTCGTCGTCGTCGTCGTCGTCGGCGTCGTCCTGCGTCGTCCGAAGACACATTGGTTTTCGCACTCTAACTTTAGTTAAAGTGAATGGATCTCTATGAAATTTTACCACAAGGTTCAATACCACAAAAGGAAGGTTGGGATTGATTTTGGGGGTTATGGTACCAACAGTAAAGGAATTAGGGGCCAAAAAGGGGCCAAAAATAAGCATTTTTGTAACTTCCAGACATTACTTGTGTGTTAGTGTATGGATCTCTCTGACATTGTACCACAAGGTTCCATATCACAAAAGGAATGCTGGGATTGATTTTGGGGGTAATGGCCTCAAAATTTTAGGAATTAGGGGCCAAAAAAGGGGCAAAACACAAGCATTTTTCTAGTTTCATGACAATAACTTGTGTGTAAGTGTATGGATCTTTCTGAAATTGTACTACAAGGTTCCATATCATAAAGGGAAAGCTGGAATTGAGTTTTGGGGTAATAGCCGAAATATTTAGGAATTGGGGGCCAAAAAGGGGCCAAAAATAAGCATTTTTCTAGTTTCCAGACAATAACTTGTGTTCAAGTGTATGGATCTCTCTGAAATTGTACTGCAAGGTACCATACCACAAAGGGAAGGCTGGGATTGATGATGGGGGTAATTGCCTCAATATTTTAGGAATAAGGGGCCAAAAAGGGGCAAAAAAACAAGCATTTTTACAGTTTCAGGACAATAACTTGTGTGTAAGTGTATGGATCTCTCTGAAATTGTACTGCAAGGTACCATACCACAAAGGGAAGGCTGGGATTGATGATGGGGGTAATTGCCTCAATATTTTAGGAATTTGGGGCCAAAAAGGGGCCAAAAAACACATTTTTCTAGTTTCCAGACAATAACTTGTGTTCAAGTGTATGGATCTCTCTGAAATTGTACTGCAAGGTACCATACCACAAAGGGAGGCTGGGATTGAGTTTGGGGGTGATGAATCATAAGGGGGTTCAAAAAATTGGGGGGGGGGGATTTTTTTTTTTTCATTTTTTTTCTTTTTTTCATTTTTTAAAATTTTTCTTTTAAAATTTTCCATTTTAAGTTGGTTATTTCTGATTTATATTTAAAAGCAAATAATAATGATATGGTAGGAGATACACACCAAACAGGATGTGTAAATTATTATATAATAAGTATTGTGCAATAGCAAGAAATTTTCAATTGCACAGTATTGCACAATAGCAAGAAATCTTCAATTGCACAGTATTGCACAATAGCAAGAAATCTTCAATTGCACAGTATTGCGCAAAAGCAAGAAATATCCAATAGCACAATATTGCGCAATAGCAAGAAATTGTCAATTGTACAGTATTGCGCAATAGCAAGAAATATTTAATTGCACAGTATTGTGCAAAAGAAGATACTTTGTATAAATTGCTTATTTCTTGACCAATTTCAATGGGGTTTTATTCTTGAATTCTTGGGGTTCTTTAATATGCTGAATCTAACCGTGTATTTAGTTTTTGGATTTTGGGCCCCGTTTTTAAATTGGTCCACATTGAGGTCCAAAGGGTCCAAAATTAAACTTTGTTTGATTTCATCAAAAATTGAATTATTGGGGTTCTTTGATATGCCGAATCTAACCGTGTATTTAGATTCTTAAATTTTGGTTCCGTTTTCAAATTGGTCTACATTAAGGTCCAAAGGGTCCAAAATTAAACTTAGTTTGATTTCAACAAAAATTGAATATATGGGGTTCTTTGATATGCTGAATCTAACCATGTATTTAGATTTTTGATTATGGGCCCAGTTTTCAAGTTGGTCCAAATCGGGGTCCAAAATTAAATTTGTTTGATTTCAACAAAAATTGAATATATGGGGTTCTTTGATATGCTGAATCTAACCATGTACTTAGATTTTTGATTTTTGGGTCCTGTTATCAACTTTGTCCACATTGAGGTCAAAAGGGTCCAAAATTAAACTTTGTTTGATTTCATCAAAAATTGAATTATTGGGGTTCTTTGATATGCCGAATCTAACCGTGTATTTAGATTCTTAATTTTTGGTTCGGTTTTCAAATTGGTCTACATTAAGGTCCAAAGGGTCCAAAATTAAACTTAGTTTGATTTTAACAAAAATTGAATTCTTAGGGTTCTTTGATATGCTGAATCTAAACATGTATTTAGATTTTTGATTATGGGCCCAGTTTTCAAGTTGGTCCAAATCGGGGTCCAAAATTAAACTTTGTTTGATTTCAACAAAAATTGAATATATGGGGTTCTTTGATATGCTGAATCTAACCATGTATTTAGATTTTTGATTTTTGGGCCCCGTTATCAACTTTGTCCACATTGAGGTCAAAAGGGTCCAAAATTAAACTTTGTTTGATTTCATCAAAAATTGAATTCTTGGGGTTCTTTGATATGCTGAATCTAACCATGTATTTAGATTTTGGATATTGGACCATAATAGGTGAATGTCCAATTTAAAATTTTTAAGTTCTTAGACCACATTCATTCTTTGTCAGAAACCTATGCTGTGTCAAATATTTAATCACAATCCAAATGCAAAGCTGTATCAAGCTTGAATGTTGTGTCCATACTTGCCCCAACTGTTCAGGGTTCGACCTCTGCGGTCGTATCAAGCTGCGCCCTGCGGAGCATTTTATTGACAGTTAACATTATATGGTTCTGTACACCCTTTAACAAATTTTAACTGTAAGAAAGCATTTTTTTTTCAATTTGAATGCTTATATCAGCATTTTTGTTACTCATCACTGAAATAAGGCAGTGTATTAAGTGCTTTTTGTTTGATGGCATTAAATATGATGTCATTTTCTTATAACATATAGGAAACATAACTACAGCGAAGGTAAGACAAGCAAAGAATCTAGATTGTTAGACAACTAATATTTCAGGGTCACTCCACAACCTTGTGGCTATATATAAACTCTATTACAGTTTTATTGTATATAATGTTTTTGTTTGGGAATTGTTCACCTTTTATCTTAAAATAACAACTTATTTTCATTAATTTCATGTATTAATTCACCTTTTCTGCTGTCTATTGATATGAATCAGGCCAAAAATTAGTAAAAGTACAGTTTTTAGAAAGTTTAAGCATATTTGTATACAAAGTTTTATCATGTAGAAGATTTTGCTTTGTAATTTATTTTCTTCTGTTAACATTAAAGATAATCAGTGTAGGATTAGATATTATCATCAAAGCATTTAACATTTATCCCTAGTTGAAGGAGTGGGATTAGATGACTTTTACCATCATTAGACAGTGTCCATGGTCTGTCCAGGAATATACTATAGAACTTTTTCTCATGAACCATTGATGAAAATAAGACCAAAAGCATACCTACCATAGTTTTGATGTTGCTTTTGTAGTTAAATACTGCGGCTACATTCATGTAGATTGTTTTAGGACCAAAAGATCTGGATAAATACTAGTACTAACATAGTGTTCTTGCTTAGGTTCCCATGTTCTGACTTATAAAGCAGCCCTTTTCAAGACTTGGGACTTACTTTCGTATTAGGTCCTACAGAAAATATGTAGACAAATCTTGAAAACAACTGAACTTTTGAAACCAAATATGACAAGTAAAAGAAGTAAACTGTGTGGTACTGATGAAATGATTACCCATTGGTGCCAAAGAGCTATCAGTATGGCTACTAGTGAGTGCTATATATATGACTTTAAGTAAAAATATGCCAAACAGTATTTATGCCAAGCTTGGTTCACATTGGCTGAAAGGTTTCAGAAGAGAAGATGACCTTGTGTTGAAATATATTCTCATTTGTACAATTTTAAACAGATCAAAAAAATTGTGAAACCTAATTAGCTAATCTCAGCAATGAAGTATTTTTTAAATTGAATCCATCATTGAATATATTTTGTATTTTTTAAAACATATTTTTTAAGCTATATTAGCTGTTTTAGTCATCTTTAAATATGCTGTATTGAATCTGTAGTTTTAAATCAATAGTGGAAATTGCTAAGAGTTAACTATATCTGTGTGTCAATGAATACTAAGCTGTTGGATTTTTTATCAGTACATGACTTATACTTTTGACAAGATGTGTTGATTAAAAAGTTAATAATTTTTTTAATGGCAATATATTTTAGCTTTTTTTCAAATGTTATCCTAGCAGATCCCTTCATCTCAATGGACAAAAAGAAATATAAACCAGCAGTGGAGATTGAAGGGAACACAGCTGCTTTGATTTTCTCCACTTCACTATGTTCACAATGATAAATCTCCCTTATTACCATTCCTCACCATGATTGCAGTTACTGGCATATATTTCATTAATTTTTACACTTGATGCTTTTACATATATGGGTATTTTCATAAATCTCCAAAGATATTGTTGCCATTTTATTTGGGATTTAACTAGTCTTCATACTTTCCAGTTTTTTACCTTTTCAATTTTATTGTCCAACTTGCGACTGCTGTTGCAGAAAGCGGGACATAGGAATAGTGATCCGGTGGCAGCGGCGTTAATTAACTACTTAAAAGCTTAATATTCCAGAAGGTAGAAGACCTGGATGCTTCATACTTTGTATATAGATGCCTTATGTTATGAAGTTTCCATCTGTCATATGTCCATTGTCCTTGACCTTATTTTCATGGTTCAGTGACTGCTTGAAAAAAAAGTTCAGATTTTTTGTAATGTTAATTTCTCTCTTACTATGAGTAATAGGATAACTATATTTGGTATGTGTATACCTTGCAAGGTTCTCATGCCTGTCAGACAATTTTCACTGAACCTCAACCTCATTTCATTGATCAGTGAACAAGGTTAAGTTTTCGTGGTCAAGTCCATATCTCAAAAAACTATAAACAATAGGTTTACTATATTTGGTCTATGGAATGATTGTAAGGTGTACATGTCCAACTGGCAGGTGTCATTTGACCTTGACCTCATTTTCATGGTTCAGTGGTTAAAGTTAAGTTTTTGTGTTTTGGCTAGTTTTTCTAATACTGTATGCAAAAGGTCAACTATATTTGGTGTATGGAAATATTTTACGATGTATATGTCAGTCTGGCAAGTTTTATTTGACCTTGACCTCATTTTCATGGTTTAGTGGTTAAAGTTAAGTTTTTGTGTTTTGGTCTGTTTTCCTTATACTGTATGCAATAGGTCAACTGTATTTGGTGTATGGAAATATTTTACGATGTACATTTCAGTCTGACAGGTTTTATTTGACCTTGACCTCATTTTCATGGTTCATTGGTCAATGTTAAGTTTTTCTGGTAAGTTTGTTTCTTAGATACTTTATGCAATAGGTTAACTATATTTAAAGCATGTAATGATTGTAAGGTGTACGTGTCTGCAGGGTTGGCAAAGTATTACCCAGGCGGGAAAACCCAGGTCTGGGTTTTCTTGGCTGGGCAATACTCCCAGAAATGGGTAATGCTGGGCAATACTGGGTAATATGATTTTTCAAGCTTATTTTTACACAAAATAGTAAAGACTTGTTGTAGTTTAATAGTATTATAGCTAAATATATACATTTCATACAGATAACCATTGAGAGTCATTCCTGAAGATTGAAAATTCAATTTTTTCCATTGAGAGTCATTCCTGGAGATTGAAAATTCAATATTTTCCATTGAGAGTCATTCCTGAAGATTGAAAATTCAATTTTTTCCTTTTCTCCACTAATTCTATGTAGGCAGAATACAAGTTTTGCACATTTCAGGATACCTTGTTAATTTCCAAGCTCTGTTTCAATAATCCAATTTGAAACTTTTAATGAAGTGTTTAAGTGAATTATAAATTTTAATTGTTATACAATCATATTGCTAAATAAACACCCTATGGCGACAGGCCATGAACACTTATAGAAATCAAAAGGCTGGTTATTGTTATATAAATAAATCTGTGTTATAATCTGAATAATTACTTATTAATTAGTGATGAACATAAACATATGCTTAAACTTAGTAAACATTTTTAGTACATAATGAACAAACATTTTTAAAAGTAATTTTCCTTACATATAATTGTTAATTCTTAATATTAGTTAATATTAAGAGTCTCAAACAAGTGAACTTATAAATTAAAATACTATACATTATTTTTATAAAAATCTTTTATGTATTGCATTTTTGATTAATCCTCTTTAAAATTCAGGCCAGTATTTCATATTACCCAGTATTACCCAGTAAAACCCATGTTTTCCCAGTATTTCTCACTGGGCTTGGCAATACTTATAAAGCCTGGGTTTTTGCCAACCATGCATGTCTGTCTGGCAGGGTTCATCTGACTTTGACATCCATTTCATGGTTCATTGGTCAATATTAAGTTTTCATGGTTTGGTCTGTTCCTTGTATACTATAAGCAATAGGTCAACTATATTCTGTGTATGAAATGATTGTAAGGTGTACATGCATTTCTGGCTTGGTTTATCTGACCTGGACCTAATTTTCTTTGATCATGCTAAGTTCACGTGATACTTGTAGTAAAACTATATTTAGGACTATCGACATAAAATCAATGTTCAGTAAAGCAGGCGAGACATTTCAGCGTGTCCACTCTTGTATCATAATTCATAGTTTTTGTCTCGCCTTGACGGAGTCAAAAAGCGAGACATAGGTATGCTGTTTCTGGCGGCGACGGCAACAGCGGCGTCAACAATGTATTAGTTTGTGATTAGGTCAATTTATGGGGAACCACTAGTGGTAGGTCAATGATATTTGGTATGCAGTTGTATAAGCATTGGCATATCTCATTTCCATGGAGATTATTTGGCTCTGCCCCCTTAGTCATGGTCTATAGACTTTGAAAATTTTTTCTAAGTTAACATGTATTAGTTTGTGATTAGGTCAGTTCAAGGGGAACCATTAGTGGTAGGCCAATGTTAATTTGTGTTCAGTTGTATAAGCATTAGCACATCTCATTTCCATGGAGAATATTTGGCCCCGTCCCCTCAGTCATGGTCTATTGACTTTGAAACTTTTGCTTAGTTTACATGTATTAGTTTGTGATTAGATCAGTTTAAGATGAACTGCTAATGTTAAGTCAATGATATTTCGTATGCAAATGTATTGGCATTTGCAAATATTGTTTCAATGGAGATTATATAGCCCCATCCCTGATCATGATTCATTGACTTTGAAACTTTTACATAGTTTACAAGTTAATGTTTGTGTTTAGGTTTGTTTAAAGGGAACAACTTATAATAAGTCAGTGGTATTTGGTATGCAGTTGTATTAGCATTGGCACATCTTATTCCATGGAGATTGTTTCGCCATGTTCCTTCAGTCATGGTTCATCGACTTTGAATACTTGCATAACTTACATGTTAAAGTATTGCTATTTTAATTTCAACATTTGCATTATCAAAATTACAAAAAGGCGAGACATATCTCTGTGATAACAGTTTATAGGATTTTGATCTTTTTAATTTGTCTCTTATCAAACTATGAGCACTTTACTTTTACACATACCTGTAAATTATCATGGTAAACTATATATTAATATCAAGGAAACAAACTCTTATGTTAATGTGGAGCAAAATGAAAATACAAACACAGCTTCAGGTGAAAAAACAGCTACCTCAGATGGTTAATATCTTCAGCAAAAGGTTGAACTGGGAAACAAGATGTCCATGTTGATAACAAGGATTATTTTCATAAGTTTTATCAGTCTTAAATTTTTATTCTTAATCCTGTTTTATTTCAAATCAATTTTCTGAAAAGAATAATACAGTTGTCCATATCTATCAGCATATCATTTGATGTGAAATATGTTTAAACATGTTCAATGAGTTATTCCCCTGTATAGTTTGGAAATTATATATTATATATATATCAGCATGGTTATGATTATAAAAAAGTATATATATTTCTTTTGTTTGTAGGCGGTCTCAGAGTGATGTATCAACAATGAATGCCAGTGATCTTGACCATGTGTTGGAACGTTTATCTGTAGAATTGGAGAAAATGGACGCTAGTGTTGGCGATGTAAATAATTCCTATATTTATACTAACAACAGTGATACATGACAGTTCTTCCTGAATAATGGCATATTGATTGATATGCAATGCTTTATTTATTTCATGGATTTAGGATCATGTTAATTTGGAGAAAATTTTTATGTTATTTTTCTTAAATTTATGGTTATATTGTATGAACAAAAATGTAGTATTAATTATGAACTGTTGTCACATGATGAAGGCAAGAATTTCATTACATAATAAAAGTGTAAGTGAGTATTTAATATTAGCAATAGAATAAAAAGAAGCTTACACTAGAAATATTGTGGCTATTTTCAGATAGGAATATAAAACTGTAAATAGTGTTAAAACAATAGTGTATCTAAATTTCATAAGAAGGGGTAATGTAGATTCTACTTCATATTTTTATTATATTTTTATCATATTTAGTATAAGTAAAACAGGATAAAAATGTTAACGGAATATTTTGCTCCCCGCTGTTGCTCATTTAGAAACCAAAAATTTCTTAAGAAGGGGAATAACCCATATAAAACCATAATTAGTCAAATAAATGCATTTGGCAATAGCGCTCTGGAAAGGTGTATTTCAACACATTACATAACTTCAATTATAATATTTTGTTAGTATTTAAAATGATTTGATATTTACAATGATTTTAAACACATTTAGGCCTGCTTTGTTTATTAGCATGTAGGATTGAGATAATATGAGTTATGATCAAATAAAATTAATCAAGCACAAAAAAGTGATAGTTTTCATATCACTGTATCAAGAAATGTCAGTTTCTTCTGTCCCCTTAAAACCTATTTTTATATTTTATACAGACTAACAATATAATTTTACCAGTTATATTGCTTAAAAGTTGAATATGATGTTTTGTTTTTCACTTCATTATTTAGTGGACATTAGTTCTCCAAAATTCAAATTTCTTTACATATGCTTATCCAGATATGATCAATGGTATTTTTTATCATTATTCACACGACTTAAAGGTTGTGAGCTGTTGGTATTTATCTTACCTCATCTGTTTTAAAAAATAACCGGTCAATTTTAACCAAACTTACTCATTATCATCATTAATGTGTGAAGTTGTAGCTGAATAAAAAGATTAGACTTCTGAGTAACTAACAGGATCCCATTATCAACATTTTGTAATATTTTATAGCTAGATATCCTTATGTGTGGGTATTTTCACCAGTAGAACAACTTTTTACATTAATGTTCTGAAGTTAAAAACATCTTCAAGCTCTTTAAAATACAGATATGTTTTGGCATATATTAATAATATCTTAGGGCATTTGACTATATAATATTTATTTATATATTAGTCCATATCATCAATAATATTAGATGAAAAGCATAGACCCTATTTTAAATTACTCTCCCCCTTAAAACCTTTGTATTAATTCAAACCAAACTTGACCTTTTTGATCCCTTGGTCCCTGTCTCGATTGCCAAGTGAATGGCTCTGACTTTTGCCTTGAGACTGCATACAAAACATGAGCTTTAAAATCTGCATTGAATTTCTGTAAAAATCTGCATACATATTACATCTGATTAGAGAAAATTTCATGATTTTTTTCAGTTAGTTTTTTGTATGTATTTACACACAATGCAAATATATTTTTACTGGTTTGTTTGTTTTGAAAAGAGACTATAATGACCTTGGCAATCATACCACATCTTCTTTTTATATATAATGAGTTTAATACAAAGCTGATTGTGATATTGTAAATACATGTATCATATATTATTGTTATGCAGTACAGCAATAAATTTTATTATGTGTGTTATTCTCTTTATTTATATAAAATTGTTGACAGTTTAAGGCAGAGTACTTCATATAGTTTTATTATTGAGGAAACTACTTAGTCATGGTCAGCCACATACTGGACAAGTTACTGTAGTGTTTGAGTTGGTTTAAATGTAAGTTTTTTGCACACTCAGGTAGATATAAAACCAGCTTACTAGACCACTTAGCAATTGTCAATGTAACCTAAAGTGTCAAAATTCTTTAAATTTTTTTTTGATGTTTTCTTGGTTACACACACAGGCTTTATCAAGTCTACATCAGGATGGTTTCAAAACACAAATATATACCATTGTAATTTACAAGAAGCTAGCTTAATAAATCTTTTTTTAGGTCTTCTGCATATACACAATGTAAAATATCAGCTCCTCCATAAAATATACACCTTTTTTGCTTGTTTTTTTAGATTTCCTTTTAATACTGTGACAATTGTTTAGATACCAATGTTCAAAATATCTGATAATACCCTGAAGTATAAAAGGAAAACTATCTACATTTGTCATGATTTATTGGATATAGCATCAAAAAGTTTTCGTATGTATTGACAAATTTCATGAGCTTGTTCATCTGTTTTGCATTGATACACATAACACTGAAATCCACCATGTTGAATTTGCAACTGTCCAATTTTCACAACAATATTTGGTTTCCCTGATCCATCTTCATACTGTATAACTTGTGCTAATGTTTGAAGAGAGTGTCTCTGTTTTACTTCCTACCAAAAAAAAAAAGTGGATTTTTACTAAATTAATGTGAGGTTTTCTCCCTTGTAATAAAACTTCAAGGAATTTTGGGTTCTCAATGCTCAAAATGCTCTTCAATTTCGTACTTTATTTGGCTATTTTAACTTTTTTATTCAAGGGTCACTGATGAGTCTTTTGTAGACGAAATGCGTGTCTGGCATACAAATTTTTTATCCTGGTAACTATGATGAATTTATTATCAAATCAAAAATTAAAATAGCAGGTTCACAACTACATGTCCTGTAGAAGATTCATATGCAAGTTTGGATGAACTCTGTCAGGCTGTTTTCAAGGAGTTGTATTCTATCAAATGTAACACACAAGACAATGAATGACATACCTTACTGTCAGTATGATATTAACATTGTAATACTGTAAATTCAGAAATTATTGTGAGGTTTTTATTAACGCGAATAATGCAACTGGTTGAGTATCACAATAATAAGAACTCGCATTCTGATAACTGATACTTATATCTGTAAGCAGATTTTCCTTAAATCGCAATAACTGATCTTGCATTTTTGTCCATTCCTCAAAAATCGCAATAATAAATGCACGCAATAATTTCTGAATTTACATTACAACCCTGCACACAGTCTGCACCAAAATCTTTTCCGACTACTAGTCCCAAGACCAATATTCCCACATTTTTCTTATGTGTCTAAACAAAGTTTTTCAAAAACTTACTAGTCCGAATAAAATTTTACTAGTCTGGTGCATTGGACTAGTGGCTAACGGTGCAGACTGTGCACAAGATTGAATATTAAGGTTTTTGTATCCATCATTCAATGATTCAAAGTTTTAAATATTTACAAATCACATATTTTCTCAAAGCATAAAATTGTTCTTGATTTTCAATGTATGCACTTTTGAGCCTTGTTTAGTAAGACTGAATCATTGAGATTCAGGATATATGTACCAAAGCTCAGGGTCACATTTGAAATCTGAGATTAGAGATTCCATATCATAAGTTTGAAATTTGAAATTAAAAGTTCAAATATTGTGTCTTGTATCTCAAAAAATTGAATTTCAAATCATTCTTTAGGCTTTCATAGTTAAGAAATTTAGGAATATAGTATCTTAAGGACATGGATAATTTCCAATTACTGTCAGGGATGTTATTTGTCATACTAATAGCATGCCTTTAAAAAGAACCTTGTGTCTAGTGTCTTTACACTTTCTTAACAATTGAATTGTTCCCTACCTGCATACAAATGTTTTTATTTTTTAATATGCAAATAGCAGTTATTAAAGTGTCAATTAGTGAATTATGTGATGTTGATAGTTTAAAATATAGCAATCATATGTAACTAACACTTTTCAAACTCAATGGTATGTGTGTAAACAATCACCTGTTTCCCTTGATCAACTATTTTCAATCCATGTCTAGAGATACACATTGTCACTCTGTTTTCTTCTATAACTGATACTGGCAACCTGCCTTCTATCTGAAAATAAAATCATATTTTTACATTACTCATAACTAAAAATTCTGTCTCTCAAGGGTTAAAGCCAATAAACTGTCAGTTTAACATTTTTGGTCTCTAAACTTTTACCACTTGTTGACTGTTTTGAAATAATAAATATTGTCATTGGAAAAATGGTTACATTGTATCACTGCACTGTTTTAGCAAATGATATCAGTTCATCATTTTGTTTCTGATAATTTTCAGATATAAAACATTTTTCTGGTCAACACATATTAAAGTACAATAATATAAAAGATAAAGGTCCATGTTACCAATTTTTTTAGTAGTCCATATATTAAACTATCTTTTCTATCATAGAAAGAAAAATTGCAAAAGAAAAGTGAGGGCTGCTTTAGCTATTCAAAAAACACCAAAAATCCATTGCAGTAATTACCTACATAAGCATCTTCAACATGACCTACGCGTTAAGCTTCAGCTTCATATTTTTTTAAATTATAATATATTGTCTCACATGTGCCACCTCTTTATAATATAATTATAAAGCCTCTTTGTTATGTCTTAACTCTTTTACCATTTTATCTCTCATTTGTGCATCCTCAACATGATCTACTTATTGAGCCTTCAGGCCACATTTTCTGGAATTATAAACTTACCTGAGCCTCCTCGACATGATCTACTAACTGAGCCTCTGTGTCACGTTTTATAGAGTTCCCCATATTTGCTTCCTCTACCATTCCAAGGAAATACACATCAAATGACATTTTCTGCAATAAGACTTTATCGGGTGTAAAACGACCATCTTTCCTACTGTCTGTGCCCGGGTTTCCCTACAACAACAAATACCAGAGTTAAACTATATTGACAGTTCTACTCTGATGTGTTATACTTGCACTGTTTCAGCATGAGGATATTACAGTGATAGTCAGCATGAGGATATTACAGTGATAGTCAGCATGAGGATATTACAGTGATAGTCTGCATGAGGATATTACAGTGATAGTAAGCATGAGGATATTACAGTTATAGTCTGCATGAGGATATTACAGCAATAGTCTGCATGAGGATATTACAGTGATAGTAAGCATGAGGATATTACAGTGATAGTCTGCATGAGGATATTACAGCAATAGTCTGCATGAGGATATTACAGTGATAGTCAGCATGAGGATATTACAGTGATAGTAAGCATGAGGATATTACATAGTACAGTGATAGTCAACATGAGGATATTACATAGTACAGTGATAGTCAACATGAGGATATTACAGTGATAAAATTTTCAATAGTTCATGTATCTGAGGATAACAGCACAACAGGGCAAAGTCCTTGAACAGTGATTAAGATAATGGTGTCATTCTAAGTTAATTTGTACAGTACACAACTATCTTCATCAATTAAATAATTAAAACATGTTGTTTGGGTAGCTGTCTTATAAAGATAAGCTCTATAGTTTATATATCCCTCTGTTTATAATAAAAAGGAGCAGAATAGCTTGTGTACCTCAATTTTATATAGTCTACATTTTCAAGCAGATATACAGTAGCCTATTGAGACTTGATTTCCATAGCCATTATTATGAAACGACAGCAAGATAATGTCAAGAGTCTACTTATTTCTTGCTCCAGTACAAGTTATAGGGATACGTCATGTAATTGGTGGGCAGTTTGATCAGAAAAAATAGCTGTGCTCTCTCAATAGAACTTAAAGAATACCTAGATTGTGTGTAAGCACCAGGTGACACAGGTATACATATATGGTGCTACTTACTAAAGTTTAATGCCTTTAATGATAGCATGCATTACAAAATCAATAAAATGCTCCGCTGGGGCGCAGCTTGATACGACCGCAGAGGTCGAACCCTGAACAGTTGGGGCAAGTATGGACACAACATTCAAGCTTGATACAGCACTGAATTTGGATTGTAATTAAATATTTAACACAGCATAGGTTTCTCACACAGAATGAAAGTGGTCTAAGAACTTAAAATTTTTTAATTTACCTATTCAAACCATATCATTATTATTTGCTTTTATATATAAATCAGAAATAACCAATTTAAAATGGAAAATTTTAAAGAAAAAAAAGGAAAAAAAAAATTCCCCCAATTTTTTCGAAACCCCCTTATGATTCATCATCCCAAACTCAATCCCAGCTTTCCCTTTGTGGTATGGTACCTTGCAGTACAATTTCAGAGAGATCCATACACTTGAACACAAGTTATTGTCTGGAAACTAGAAAAATGCTTGTTTTTTGGCCCCTTCTTGGCCCCAAATTCCTAAACGTTTAGGGCAATTACCCCCAAATTCAAACCCAGCTTTCCCTTTGTGATATGGAACCTTGCAGTACAATTTCATAAAGATCCAACCACTTACACACAAGTTATTGTCCTGAAACTAGAAAAATGCTTGTTTTTTTGCCCTTTTATGGCCCCTAATTACTAAAATTTTGAGGGAATTACCCCCAAAATCAATCCCAGCCTTCCCTTTGTGGTATGGTACCTTGCAGTACAATTTCAGAGAGATCCATACATTTGAACACAAGTTATTGTCCTGAAACTAGAAAAATGCTTGTTTTTTTGCCTTTTTATGGCCCCTAATTACTAAAATTTTAAGGGAATTACCCCCAAAATCAATCCCAGCCTTCCCTTTATGGTATGGTACCTTGCAGTACAATTTCAGAGAGATCCATACATTTGAACACAAGTTATTGTCTGGAAACTAGAAAAATGCTTATTTTTGGCCCCTTATTCCTAAACTTTTTGGGCAACTACCCCCAAACTCAATTCCAGATTTCCCTTTGTGATATGGAACCTTGTAGTACAATTTCATAAAGATCCATACACTTACACACAAGTTATTGTCATGAAACTAGAAAAATGCTTGTTTTTTGCCCCTTTTTGGCCCCTAATTCCTAAAATTTGGAAGCAATTACCCCCAAAATCAATCCAAGCATTCCCTTTGTGATATGGAACCTTGTGGTACAATGTCAGAGAGATCCATACACTGACACACAAGTTATTGTCATGAAACTAGAAAAATGCTTGTTTTTTGCCCCTTTTTGGCCCCTAATTCCTAAAATTTGGAGGCAATTACCCCCAAAATCAATCCCAGCATTCCCTTTGTGATATGGAACCTTGTGGTACAATGTCAGAGAGATCCATACACTTACACACAAGTTATGTCTGGAAGTTACAAAAATGCTTATTTTTGGCCCCTTATACCTTAACTGTGGGTACCATAACCCCCAAAATCATACCCACCTTCCTTTTGTGGTATTGAACCTTAAGGTAAAATTTCATTGAGATTCATTCACTTAAACTAAAGTTAGAGTGCGAAAACTAATTTGTCTTCGGACGTCGACGACAACGCCAACGTCATACCAATATACGACCACAAAAATTTTTTTGCGGTCGTATAAAAATGATTAATTTATAAAATAAAAGTAATAAGAAAAATAGTCATGTAGGTGTTGCCATAGATGCTCAGGACACATCTTTGACATGAAAGGGTTAGTTTCTGGCTGTTTGGCTTCATTTATAAATTGATATTTATTAAGAATAAATTATAATTAAGTATTCAGTGTTATTATTAGTTACACAATGTGCAACTGACCTAATAAGATATACAGGGTCAATAAATTCTATACTGGTGAGAGCGAGCAAGCTTTACCTAAGACTATAGTTGATTATAGGTATTTACACTTAATTTGTCAAAATTGAAAAATCCTCATTTATGGAGTGACTTAATCATCGGAAAAAACAGTAAACTTTCCCATCAAATTGCACCAATTATATGTTTCATTTTACTTCTTTGGTTGCTCTTACCTGACAAAGTACCAGGATGTCCTACAACAGAGTAGGAAACCTGTCGAAAAAATATAAACTCCTGAGTCATAAGTCGGTAATATGAAAATAGTCTAGGTGGCACGGTAGTATTTACATTCAGGAATTTAGGTTGCTCTTTTGTGTACCCTACTTAGGTCAATGTATCTGAACAGTGTGTCAGATTGGACAAAAAATACAGTATCTACTGAACATACTTTCCCAAAGTGATGGATGAAACAGGTGAATTCTAGTCACTTCGTCACCTGATTAATTCGGTACCCGAGGTAGTTATTTCGGCACCCACAATTAACATTGTGTTTTGCAAGTAAACTATTGAAGTCTCCGTTTTTCTTGATTTATTTAATATTTTCACTCAAGGTCTCAACCTATATTTGTTCCGCATAACAGAAGTTCCATTGGAAACTTTGTTATAAACAATACAATAATATCAATATTATTGACATTTTGGGATTTCCCCTTTATTCGTGACGTCATGCATAAGAATTTATCATCGGCAACGTGCTACTTCAAAAAAACTTAACCAGATATTTTTCATTGCATTTTCATTAATATCGGCATGAAAAAGAGAAGTTGTGTATGCATATTATTTGTTTGAACGTCTGTTTTTACTATTACTGTTTTATTCTTCATTGTTCCTCTTCAAGAATATCGTTAAATTCTTGAGAAAATTCTTTTAGCAATGTTTTTGACATCTCAACAATGAGACATCTATATTGAGGTCATGTGGCGCTTTTTTTCCCCTTTTTTTTAAGGCCAATAGTATTATTTTTTAAAGTCTGTAAGTGATAAGATTTTTTAAGATCAGAAAATGATTTTATATATTTTGATAAAACAAAGCCTGCCGAATATTGGCTCATGAAGAGTAAATTAATCCTATGCCATTGAATGCGAATTGAATGGAAAAATACTTTGATGCATTAATGATATTGTGACATGTTATATTATCTTAAACGTGTTTAAAGTGTTTTATTCTGGACTTTCCTATTGACCACTTCAAGTCACGTGTAAAAATTAGAATAATTGTTGTAGGGTGAATAAAAAAGTTACTTAGTCCCAATTTCTCTTTTTTTTTGAGACAGATTGACTATATTTCTGAAGCTATTCAACTATTGAGTGCATCAGACTGTTTGCAAATAAATAAAGAAAGAATATTTACATTCACAGTGGATAATATTTGCTCCAAGGTTGTGATTTTTTTCTTTCCTTTTGAGTTAAGGTAACAAACTTCCAAACATCGAGTATACAATGTTTGCTGATTTGACTTATACCCAATCAGGTGTAGAAAAATATGAAATGATTTTACAGTGAATATTATTTTTTGAGATTTTTTTTAAATTTTGTATTCACTGCCTGGTAAAAGACCTAAAAGCACTAGTGGCCTTAGGTTTATAAAGATAGCAAAAAAAGTAAACAGTCATCATACATATTCAAATTAATTTCTGAATATAATGAAAGTACTTCAGTTAACTGTGTATGTAGAATTTTGGGCAGTGTTCGAAAAGTGGTGAAAATTCTAAAAAGGCTATCATTATCCCTATGGACCAGGAAATACTACCGTTCCACCTCTATTGCATATCTGTAAACAAAATCGTTTAAACTGGCAAAATTGGCTTCCGCTTAACCAATCTAATCAAAATATAGACCTCTGATTTCGTTATACGAGCACGCGAGTTAATATAGATTTGAATTTTAATCAGATTGCCGTTAACTAGAGCCGGCAAAATTGCATATTTTCTATCACTGCCTTATTGATAAAACAATATATTTCATAAGATAGGAAACAAAGTACGATTATCACTGTGAACAGGTAAATATGGGTGGGGATTGTGGTTTTAAAACCATAAGACTATTGCGGTAGAATTTTCAACACCTTTTATAAGGATATTTTTTACCTGAACTGATGCACTATTGTAAAGTTGTTAACTTACATTGTGTTGAGATGATTTGCTAGTTTTTTTCCAAAACATTTCTGTTTTTGTTTGACAGGAAGTTGGTATCAAGTCGTTAAATTTAAAACCTTAGCTGGAATGAAATATGCGGAATAATCTAAAACAGGGCTTTTGTATCCTGGTCTTCTTCTTCAGTTTCAGAAAACCATCAACATACTGATGTTTACTTTCCGGCGCATACCTGGTAAATGTTTCCAAATTTATAATTTATTAAGTATTATTTAACGTAGATTAACACATTTTTTAGTTTTCCATAATGATATTTTTGTTATGTTATATATTTGTTATATTATCAATTTTTACAATTTTTCTTTGTTTGTAGATTTTTCATTTTTATTTAATTTTTTCTAATATTTCATTTTTAGCTCACCGTTCCGAAGCAATTAGAGCAAATCTGATGAGAGGCTTTTAAAGGAAATATGACAGATACAAAAAACATATCAATGGAATTTTATAATCCTGGTACCTTTGATAACTATTGCTTACTTTAAAAAATCTTCTCCTTTGAAACTGTTGAATCAATTTCAGCTAAACTTGGGCTGAATGAGTTTCAGAGTATCTAGTATAAGATACTCAGTTTCAGAGTATCTAGTATAAGATACTTAACCTCTCATCAGATTTGCTCTAACTGCTTAAGTGTTTGAGATATATTAGCCAAAAACTGCATTTTACCCCTATGTTCTAATTTTAGCCATGGCGGCCATGTTTTTTGATGAAACAGAAAATAAAACACAATCTTTATTCTAGATACCCTAAGGATCATTCAGCTTAAGTTTGGTTGGAATTGGTTCAGTAGTTTCATAGGAGAAGATTTTTTAAAGTTAGAAAACATGATAAACAAATTGTGTAAAATTGTCCTCAAGACAAGAATCTTTTGAAGAAAATATGACAGATACAAAGAACATCTCAATGGAATTTTATAATCCTGGTACCTTTGATAACTATTGCTTACTTTAAAAAATCTTCTCCTTTGAAACTGCTGAATCATTTTCAGCCAAACTTGGGCTGAATGAGTTTCAGAGTATCTAGTATAAATTTTGTATTTTATTTTCTTGTATGTCAAGAAACATAGCCACTATGGCTAGAATGGAACATAGGGGTTAAATATATTTCTTTGCTTTTGAAGAAAATATGACAGATACAAAGAACATCTCAATGGAATTTTTAAGCCACTCATTAATATATATTAAAAAGCAAAAATAATCATTGAAGAAAGATTTAAGCAAAAAATTACAGGTGAGCGATTCAGGCTCTTGATAGCCTCTTGTTTATTTTATTTTTTTAATTTAAGATAAAAACATGATTGCCTGTTTACTTCAGGTGTGGATAGGTATCAAGGAGCAAATCGTGAGTGAGTGCACCCTTGAAGGTTTCTGTAGTGGTGTTTTTAGTTATGTCGGAGGATAATTTGTTCCAGTCTTTATTGGTTTGACAAAAAAAAGAAAATTTGTAGCTGTCTTTGTTACAATGAATTTGTCGGTAGGCATCTTTATTGGTGGATCTTGTATTAGACTGACTCTGCTGTAATAAATTTTGCGATGGAATGGCAATATTTTCATTTATAATTTTGTGGAACATTATTAGCCTTGTTCTTAGTCGGCGTTCTTGTAATGTTTGCCAATTCATGGTGTCTAGCTGCTGGTGTTGTGATGACTGTTACACGCATACCTTGCCGCTCGTCTCTGTACTTTTTCTAATGATCGTATATTTTCATTTGTATATGGGTCCCATACAGTACAACAGTATTCTAATTTGGGTCTTATAAGTGTTTGGTATGCTCGTTCTTTAATTTTTAGTGATTAGACTTTAAGATTTCTTCTGATAAAACATAAAGATGTATTTGCTTTTGCGGCTGTTTGTTAGATGTGGGTGTTCCATTTTAGATCTGAAGAAATTGTGATACCTAAATATTTTGCATGTTTTACTGATTCTAAGATGTGTCCATACATGTTGTAGTAAAAGTGGATGGGATTTCTTTTGGTTGTTATGTTCATGATGTAGCACTTGTCTGGGCTGGGTGGAAAGACATGAGCCAGTATTGCTCCCATTGTATGACAGCTTCTAGAACTTCTTGAAACTTGAGGCAGTCGTTTTGAAATTTAATTTGTCGGTAAATTATACTGTCATCTGCGAAGAGTCCAGTTTTGCTATGTTTGATGTATTCTGGAAGATCATTTATGTAAATAAGGAATAGTATAGGTCCTATAACACTGTACCCTGTGGGACACCCGATGTGACTGGTATTTTTGAAGATGACATGTTTTCTTAAAGTACTGTTTGAGTTCTGTTCGAAAGAAAGGATTCGACCCAGTTTATGATTTGTTCTGATATGCCAAAGTATTTCATTTTGTATAGTAATCTTTTGTGTGGTACCTATCGAAAGCTTAAGCAAAATCTATGATTATACGATCTGTTTGTATGTTCTTGTCATTGTTTAATGATTATTCATGTATCAGAGAGATAACTTGGGACTCTCATGATTGCTTTGCCCTAAATCCATGTTGTAATGTTTAAAGTGTGTTATTGATTTCTAGATGTTGCATCATGCTGCCTGCAAAGATGTATTCGAGTAATTTGCAAGCTATGCATGTTAAGGATATAGGTCTGTAGTTACCTGGGTTATGTTAATCTCCTTTTTATACGACCGCAAAAAAATTTTGCGTTCGTATATTGGTATGACGTTGGCGTCGTCGTCGTCGTCGTCTTCGTCCGAAGACACATTGGTTTTCGCACTCTAACTTTAGTTTAACTGAATGGATCTCTATGAAATGTTACCATAAGGTTCAATACCACAAAAGGAAGGTTAAGATAGATTTTAGGGGTTATGGTACCAACAGTTAAGGAATTAGGGGCCAAAAAGGGGCCAAAAATAAACATTTTTGTAACTTCCAGACATAACTTGTGTGTTAGTGCATGGATCTCTCTGACATTGTACCACAAGGTTCCATATCACAAAGGGAATGCTGGGATTGATTTTGGGGGTAATTGCCTCCAAATTTTAGGAATTAGGGACCAAAAAAGGGGCAAAAAACAAGCATTTTTCTAGTTTCATGACAATAACTTGTGTGTAAGTGTATGGATCTTTCTGAAATTGTACTACAAGGATCCATATCACAAAGAAAAAGCTGGAACTGAGTTTGGGGGTAATTGCCCAAAACGTTTAGGAATAAGGGGCCAAAAAGGGGCCAAAAATAAGCATTTTTCAGTTTCCAGACAATAACTTGTGTTCAAGTGTATGGATCTCTCTGAAATTGTACTGCAAGGTACCATACCACAAAGGGAAGGCTGGGATTGATTTAGGGGGTAATTGCTTCAAAATTTTAGGAATTAGGGGCCAAAAAGGGGCAAAAAACAAGCATTTTTCTAGTTTCAGGACAATAACTTGTGTGTAAGTGTATGGATCTTTATGAAATTGTACTACAAGGTTCCATGTCACAAAGGGAAAGCTGGGTTTGAGTTTGGGGGTAATTGCCCTAAACGTTTAGGAATTTGGGGCAAAAAAGGGGCCAAAAAACAAGCATTTTTCTAGTTTCCAGACAATAACTTGTGTTCAAGTGTATGGATCTCTCTGAAATTGTACTGCAAGGTACCATAACACAAAGGGAAGGCTGGGATTGAGTTTGGGGGTGATGAATCATAAGGGGGTTCAAAAAATAGGGGGGATTTGTTTTTCCTTTTTTCCTTTTTTTTTCTTTAAAATTTTCCATTTTAAATTGGTTATTTCTGATTTATATATAAAAGCAAATAATAATGATATGGTTTGAATAGGTAAATTAAATTTTTTTAAGTTCTTAGACCACATTCATTCTGTGTCAGAAACCTATGCTGTGTCAAATATTTAATCACAATTCAAATTCAGTGCTGTATCAAGCTTGAATGTTGTGTCCATACTTGCCCCAACTGTTCAGGGTTCGACCTCTGCGGTCGTATCAAGCTGCGCCCAGCGGAGCATTTTATTAAATACAGGTGTGACGTTTGCGTGGTTCCAGTCAGATGGTACTTTGCCTGTTTCTAATGATCTGGTAAATAGTAAGGTGAGGATGTTAGTACATTTTTCAATGTTTTGTTTTAGTACTCTGCCTGCGATGGTGTCAGGACCAGTAGCTTTATTAGGGTTTATGGTTTTAATAAGTTTATAAATACCATCCCTAGATATTGTAATGGGTTTCATTTTAGGATGAATACTAGGACCTTTATCTGAGATGTTAGTATTTGCTTCAGATGTAAAAGCAGACTGAAATTGTTTGTTCAGTATGTTCGCTTTCTCAGATTGACTTGAGTGCGGTGTACCGTCACTTCTTAGTGAAGCTATGCCGGTGTTTTCATTTTTTTGGCTTTTAATGTAAGAATATAGTTTTTTGGTGTATTTTTAAAGCATGGTTTATCTGGATCCTTTATTCCAATATAAAAAAATCATATTTTCTGACTAAATAATAGCCAACGATAAATCTTACGGGGCGATGGATCATATAATTATGATACAGTACACTACAAAATATAATATATAACAAGTCTAAAAGGGTACAACATCACCAAAAAATAATAACAAAATGAACAAATGTTAAATATTTCGGATAACAGATATCCTTCATCAGTATGATCACGATGTAAAATGAATCATATCAATCTAGTCTGATTATAAACTATAACAATCTTGAAATTTATACAATAAAACAGTCAAAACTGAACATCATAGAGACGCTTGTACAATTCTAAACATGACGTAGGTTATGTAGCTATTTACAACAGAGACTGCAAAGATATGCTTCAAATGAAAATAGTAATGTGCGATATGAGCTGGTACAACTCTAAAATCTCAAAAGTGACGACAGTTAAGATGTTACAACAACGATTGCGTGGAAATACATTCCCAATAAACAGCACTGCGTATTTAAACATCCCAAATAGATAGCAGTTTGATAATGATTAAAAAAATAATAATAAATTTTGACTAAGGTTAAATAATTGAACGTGACTGCGTACTTATACATCCCTCCCAAATGAAAAGAACCCTGTAATTTAAACCAGTATAATTAAAAAATTCCTTAAAACTGTAAGAGTTCAATACGGAAGCCTGAGTTACTGGAAACAAGTGATAGTAG